CAAGAGAATCCGCTCTTAGTAAAATACATTAACTGCAAATCTAACAGAACAATAGATATACAAGGTTATAAGTAGTAGTACGTCTACTAATTAATCACATACTTCCAAACCAAAGGAAAACAAAAAAAAAAAATAAGGCTTCACTTTTAGTCTGCAGCAATGCCCTACTAGCCTTCCTTGTGTACATTTTCACCACCACCTTTCCCATCGGAACCTGTTGTTTCAGCATCAAGCTCGCCCCGATTGATTCAGTTCTCTTCCCGAAAATTCTAACTCTAGAACAAGGGCATCGCATAAGGGAAGAGAGATCAAGAAATCGAGTCCTTAATCTCATGTCCATGAGGTCAGCTGAGGGTGCCCCTAATGGAACACAGCCTTACATTTCCGGTGCCCTTAGCAATTACTATGTGTCACAAACGTTATCAGCTCAAGAAGACAGTATAAACCTTACTTAATGGTGGATTCCGGCGCTGATGAGACTTAGGTTCAATGCGCCAGATGCACCAACTGCCTCCTCGACATTCCATTTTTTACCTTGCAGCCACACTCTGTGTTCCGAAAATGTGTAGTAGCAATAAATTGTGTCTCCACAGTTTAAATTATACCTTCACCGGAGGCAACACCACAGGTTGGTTTTTAACTGACATCTTCGGTTTCCCAAGCTCTATAAAAACCAGTCTGAAGTACCCAGTAGCATTTGGTTGTGGCTATGATAACCTGACACGCCCGACCCTGATATTCGAAGAATATCAGGATAGACACGTGCTGGCCGACACTCAAGGTGACGAAAGCCATTAATTGATTATAAGAGTAATGATTAGAAGAAAATATTCATGAATAACGTCAGAATTTAAGAGTAATTAACAACATTCAAGGAAGTGTCTAGAATGAACCAGACACAGTCTAAAACCAGATTTACAAAAAGAAAGAACATTACAAGATATCACACAAGTGGGTGATAGAGTGCTACTGGTAGGGGAATGCCTCGTACGTCCAGTCGTAGTCCTCGTTTCTATGACCTGAATGGGGGCGCAAAACAAAGGTGAGTGGACCAAGTTCATATATATAGTCAACGTTGACCGGGGGTCAACGGTCAAACTAGGTCAAACGGGTTTTAGGCTTGAAATCCGGATTAAGGTTTAGGTTAAATAGGATTAGGATCTATTGGGTTTTGGAATTCTAAGGTTTTTGGGTTAAAAGGGTTTTCGTCCGGGACCCTTCTTAGGGTAATTCAACGTTTTGAATCCGTTTCCAATGTCCGTTTTCCCAAATTCAATTGCTATTATATAGTTTTATTTATTGGACTCTTTATGTGCTTAGGGGCATTTATTGTGACGTTTCCGTCTTCGCTAGTGGCGCAGCTTTTGGCAACTAAGTACTGTGAGTGGACCCCTTCTAAAATTACATGATTTTATAGTAATTGCATAAATGATTAGCATGCCTACGAATTTTGTGAATTGATTTATATCAATCCTGTTACTGAATTTATTGAATATCGTCTCGTGTTTTGGTGAGGAATTAATTGTTAGCCTATATTGAGCTATATTTTAATATATCGTATTTTCTATAAAAACCATGACCTGATAGACTATCTAATAGATGACGATAGGATGCTAGAACATGTTTTTAAACCCCTCTTTATAGTGTAGACGATGATCGGTAACCTATGCTATGAAGTGGTTATTTATGAGATGCGTAAATATTTGTGCGTACCTAGTAGACACTATGCCGCCTGGGGCGAGGATCTGGTGTTGGCATTTGGGCCGGGAGAAATAATACCTAGCTACGGGCTGAGGGACATGAAGAGGCATTGGGCCGGGAGTTGGTAATCTCTGGCTACGGGCGCAGAGACCACGGAGCAGGCATTGGGCCGGGAGTTATATTTATTCGGTGATCTTACTAGCAGCACACCGCGTTTACGAGACGATTTACGAGATGTTTACGCGATGATTTATATGATGTTTTCCGCGTTATGGCTTTTGAGATATTTTTGGCATGCTAGGATTTTTATTAAATCCATCACTTATTATGCTAGTAGTTTTCATTATATATAACTTTGGGGGTTAGTATGTTTATAATTGTTTTATTATTATTATATATATAAACTTGGTCCACTCACCTTTATTTTGCGCCCCCATTCAGGACTTAGAATCAAGGCACCTAATCCCGGCGTGAATACACTTCCGCAGCAGCATCTTCGGATCCTCTCGATGTAGGACCCACTTCTTTATTCATTCAATTATATCTTAATTCTTTTTAGTGATTAGGTTTAGTTGTATGCTCTGAGCACGTTCTTAAAATTATTAACTCATTGTTTTTAAATTTCTAACCCTTATTTAATTCTTATTCTTAGCTTTTGTATCAATTAATGGCTTTCGTCACCCTTGGGTGTCGGCCAGCACGCGTCTATTCTGGCATTCGGAGAATATCAGGGTCGGGGCGTGTCATAACCGGAACATAACTTTCTGTCTAAATGATGGACCTAAAAATTTGCTAGCCGACCATTTTGGCTTGTGGGCAGGGCCGCGGTCTGTCCTAACGCAACAAGCTCATCAGACAAACATGCAGCTTCTGTTACTGCCTACCGTCATGGGCTACACGAAAGGGAACGTATACATTTCTTCGATTTGGACAACGCGGATAGTGCTTGTAGGAATTCCCAGATACCATGTCAATGTGTTGGGAGTTAGTCTCGCCGGAAAGCGCCGTAAAATAAATCATGCATTGTTCAGAATGAGGATCGACAGCAGCGGCGGTTTTGTCATTGACACAGGTAGTCCTTACACCTATCTTTCGGGAACCGGAAAGATTCATAAAGACATTTTAGCGTCTCCGGCATTTCAACCTTACGTTTACACACTTTTGAATCTATGTAATATGATTGGAGACATTACTAATAAGAAAATGCCAAAGTACTAATAAATAATAAAATTAGCCTCAGCAAAACCGAATTTTAACCAAACAAAAATAATTGCAGTTTGGTTCGATTTGGTTCAAGATTTTATTTTGTTAGTATGAAAACCGAACCAAAGTGCTTTAATTGATTTGGTTTGGTTGGTTTGAATGCTTCGACCGTTTCTTTCCAACTAATTAACAAAAGAATCTCTTTTTTTTTTTTTTCGCAAACAATATAATTTATTTAAGTAGGAGAAATTTTGTCTACCTAGAACACTTGTCAGGTAATATATTTCTGTACGTGTTATAATAGGAGAGATGAAATGATTGATACGTTTCACTTCTAAAATATATGACCGTTTGAGGAAACCTTCAAGGGAAGGGATTCCTTTTTCTTTTTTTTTTAAATGAGAATTAGTTGTAAGATCTACATCACATTGAACTTTAACAATCCGAACTGTCTATTTTTCAAGTTGCACCTCATAGATCATTCTTACAAAATAATAGCCCAAATCGGAAAATTTTAAGACATCTAATTGAGTTCAAAGAAATTAACGAATACTTTGTTATATAAGAAACAATGAAATTTTATTTTGATAATTAAATAGACAAATGATTTCGGATTGAATTGAATTTTTGCAAGGATGATATATGAATCGAAACTTACGAAATAGACGGTTCGGATCGTTAAAGTTCGATATGGAGTAGGTCCCATATCTAATCCATATTTTTTGAAGAAAATGGGAATCTCTTTACATAAAAAGCCTGTACCGTTTGATATTTATTTCGTTTTATGTTATTATTTTCACTTAAAAAAAAATTGAAATCTTGTTTGCTACTACGTTTTTTAAATTTGGCCCTGAATGGTTAATTTTTTTTATAAAAACTAAAAATAGTTAGGATCCGGATCCCTTCTCTCCCTCGTGAGAGACCTCCTCTCTACCTGAGAGTTCCTTCTCACGGTTGTGTGAGTGTCTCCAATCTTGCCACAATCCAGAGCTGTCGTCCCTAGCTATGGCTGGGGGCGGTGGCAGTCTCTCCTCCTGCCCTTTGTCTCCTCTTCTCTTCCCTGATTTTGCTGTCTTCCTCTGCTCCCCACCTCGATTTGGATTGTCCCTCACACCCCCCGGCGTTCGTCTTCTTCACCCATCTCCTATTCGATCAGCAGTCACGGTTTACCGCGATGTGTTGCGGCTTCTCGGGAGAGTGTGTAGAGTTCCGGTGTTCTCACTGGCTTGGGTGTTCACCACACCACCACTCTCTCATTGTTTGCTGCTCTTGTTGGCAGCGTTCCCCTTTGTGGCTGCGTTCGAACAGGTGCTTGTGGCAGCCTACTGCGCTTGGCTAGGCGCTTCTCGGTTGGCGGTGTGAAGGCTGGCTTCTCGTGGTGGTTCACCGTAGCAGAGGCGGTGGACGCAGTAGACCAGGGCTTCTTTTGATCTTTTGGGCTCTATGGTTTCTAGTTTTGTTGGTCCGGGCTTTGGTTTGGGTCCACTTTTGCTTTGTGTTAATCTTGTAACTGGACCCTTTTTGTGTACTGTTGGATGTTGCCTTGGAATGATATCTCCAGTTTTCCCAAAAAAAAAAAAAAAAAAAAAAAAAAACACCGTATAAGATTCTAATTTTCAGTTTTCATAAAAATGCTAACTAAAACTTGAAAATGAAATAATTATCAAACCGCTTCTTAAAAACGTTATATTATGAAAGAAATTGTAACACGTGTCGGTTACACCCAAAAATTGCTCATCCAAGTAGGCAGAGCTGGACACCGTAACTAACAAAACGGCGACGCGTCAGATGTCGTCCTTCTCCGCCGTATAAAAATGACAGAGCTCGAAACTGTAGAACTGTCGCTGTTCGCTCGCTCGCTCTCTCTCTACAGAGCCTCTGTAGCTCCTTCCGTCGGCAGATGACGAGAGAGAAAGTAGAGAGAGAAAAAAAATAAAAATCCAAAACAAAAGTCCCTCACTTTACCATACCGCCAGTGTTGTATTGTATTGTATCTCGCTTTCTTGCTCACCCTTTTATTCCGTCACTTTCTCGGGCCGCGAAGGTGAGTGGTTTTCTTCCTCTTTTGGCTCTTACCCAGATCAATTTTCGCATTTGTTTCGACATATTTCGAGTTTTCCGAGCTGGTTATTGTTTGTTTTTGAGCTCATTTGATTTTCAATTGGAATTATTGTGATTATTTTCTGATTACCTGGGTATTAATTGGGTTTGGGATTGATGTGGGATTTGGATATCGTTATTGGGTTACCTCCGTTTGGTTGCTGAAAAAATTTGGAAAAAATGGATGGAAAAAAAGGGATGGAAAAAATACTCCTTTTTGTGTTCCGAATTTTTTATTTCTGAGCTAATTTAGCTCAATGTATATTTCGTGATTTGGATATAATTTTCTGCTGAGAATGCTTCAGAAGGGAAAGACCTAATTTTTGTGGAAAAATGGTTTCTTGGGATACTTTTAAGTTAATTTTTTGGTAAAAATTGAGAATTTCCATTAATTTGACGATCAATGAAAAATGGAAAGTGGTTAGGTGCCTGGTTCATTTTGTATTTTGAAGATGCAAAATGCAAGCTGAAAATGGAATTTCAGAATTGACTTCTTATGGTGTTTGGAAAGAGGAAGCTTATAGAGAAACCGGACGAGTTCTTTACCAGACGCTGCTCTAACTATGAGAATGCCCACAAACAACTGCCCGTTTGGCTTTAGTTTGCGTGAAAGGCGTGTGTTTGTTCGTGAATTTGCATTTTTCCATGGTCTTGCTGTGCTGCGAGGTTACAGCTCTAAGCCCTTGCATGAAATAATTAAAATCACAAATTATGGCTATGGAATATGGTTGTAAGAAAGAATTGAATTCAGCATTATTCTGTGGTATTTTTAATTGGGATGTTTTTGTTTTTGGGTATGGCTTGCTTTTCCTGGTATGTGGACAGTTTTTGTATAGTTTGAAATTTGAAATCTCTGTCTCTCAGTCGTTGAAATCAGAACACGTTTATAATTGTTGCATAAAATGTTACATGTATACACAGGTATGTATAAGAACCAATTGCAGGAGTTGGCACAGAGAAGTTGCTTCAATTTGCCATCTTATTCATGCATTCGGGAAGGACCAGATCATGCTCCTCGATTCAAAGTAACTGTCAACTTCAACGGAGATACTTTTGAAAGTCCTACATTCTGCCCTACTCTTAGACAGGCCGAGCATGCTGCAGCGGAGGTAGCATTGAACACACTTGCAAAAAGAGGCCCTTCCAGAGCACTGGCTGCAAGAGTATTGGTTAGTAGCATATTATAGTGCTTTACTTCTTTTACTTTGGTAACAACAGTTTCTTTATGTGCTCAAAATTTGTTAGTTTCAGGTAGATATGTTCATGATTCTCTTTTTGTTTGTTGGAGTAACGATTAATTTTTTAATACTAATTACCATAGGTCTGTTGTGGTTTATACGTGTGATCCAATAGTCGATGAGTGCAGATTCCTCCACCCCCAGAGACAAAACTAAAATCATAACATTGAACTGTTAAGGGAAAAATGTTCCAAGACTTTACTTTCTTCTTTTTTCCTGGAAACTACCCTGAGAATTGATGAGGGTGCATCTTGGCACAACAGTACAGTTTGCCTTGAGCTACCAGATGGTAACAAATTCGAATTGCAGAAAAATCCTCTCCCAAAAGAGGGGTATGGCTGTGCGTGTTGAATCATCCTTAGACCTTGCATTTGCGGGAGTTTGTTTGTGACAGATAGATTAAGGTTTCAAAGAATTTAGTTTTACAGAAAACCAGGAAGGAAAAGAAGAAAACCGGTTAAAACTAACTAGCATTTGCTTCCTCCTCTCGATGGACTCTATATTTAAATGGAATGACTCTTTGATACCTTCTTAATATGTTGTTTACTTTTACTGTCCAGAATTTTCCTTTTTTCATCCCTAACTTAATGCAAACTGCCACAGAAAATAGTTGTTGAATAATTATATTGTGTGTTGTGCTGCACAGGATGAAACGGGGGTTTATAAGAACTTGCTTCAGGAGACTGCTCACAGAGCTGGGTTGAACCTTCCTGTTTATACAACTGTTCGATCTGGACCAGGCCATGTGCCTGTGTTCTCATGTACAGTTGAGCTAGCAGGAATGAGCTTTACTGGGCAACCGGCTAGGACAAAGAAACAAGCTCAGAAAAATGCTGCAATGGCTGCTTGGGCAGCCCTGAAAAGATGTATGCATTTTCCTGTTATCTTTCTTTTTTTGCTCTTTCTTCTAAATGTGCACTAGCAAACAAGCATTTTGTGGTTTCCCTTGAAGATTGCATGCATTTTTATTTCCTTCTTTTGGCTGCTTGCCAACTCAATCAATGAAATTTCCCAAATATGCATTCCATCGAAGACAAGTCCTATATATGTAAATTGTATGTTATCCATGCAGTGGCTCAACGTGACTCATCTTCTTCCTCGGTGGAGCCTAGAGGCAATGAAGAACAGGAACAAGCCATTATTGGTCGTATTCTTGGAAGTTTGCGGCCATCTGAGTCTATTAATACTCAAAATGATCGCCGACATGGACAGCAAACATACATTCCCATCTTCCAGAAATCCACTCTGCCAACACCAAGCTTATATCCTTTGCAAATCTATAACTGGGGTTATTCTAATTATTCCCCTGAAATAGCAATGTACGAATTGTGGCAGCAAGAGCAATTATTACAGCAACAAAATCGCCTGCTGGCACTTCCTGTTTCACCAGTTATTCCATCTATTCCTCAGATATATCCATTTATGCAATCTGTGCTTCGCCCGGATCACTGTCTATACTTTCCAGCAAGAGAGCAAGAGCCGACCTCAGCAGGACCCAGAATTACAATTGCTACCTCAGGCCCATCATTTTGCTTCTCAAACCATTTGCTTCCTAACCCGCCAATCAGGGGCAAGTCCACGGTGACTATTCGAGAGATACAGGAAGAAAAGCCAGAAGAATCACCCGGGTACTCTCCTTCCGTAGTTTCAGATCCCTTTAGTCCCGGAAACAGTGGCGCTGAAGTCCAGGAACAAGTTCAGCTTGAGAAACAGAACCTAGGAGAGTTAGAAAGCAAAATTGGAAACCTTCAGCTGGAATGCAACAACCCAACTGGGCAGCCTGGACATGCTCACCCTAGAATCATGGATTCTAGTTTTAGGCCAGTTGACTTTAGATTACAGAATCCTCGTGGTTTCGACTCTTGTAGGCCCAATTTGAGACCCCAAAATCCTCCAAGAGTAAGTAGTGCTAGAATTCTAAGACCGCCATCTGCTGCCGAACCTGTAATAATCAGAACTGTAAGGCCCTCTTCCTCTCCGGGGTCTAGACCACAAAATTTTCCAAGCAGGAATCCCGCTCCACCAAGAATGAGAACTGGGATCCCTTCATCTTCAGCCGCACAATTGCCTGAAAGAATGCAACTGGGAGGACTGCGACCTAGCTTCATGGCACCTGCTGTTCGAATTAGATCAGTTGTACCAGTTTGTTCAGCTCCACCAGCAAGAAAAATGCCTAGTCCCAGCCAGGAGAGAGTGTTACCCGAGATGGAGAAGAAGGATGCTAATAGAGACGACATGCCAAAAGAACGTTGAGCTTGGTAAGCTTCATATATAATCCGAAATTCCAAATATACATAATACAGCAGTTCTGATAGATTTGAATAGTTTATCTTGTGAGGAAATATTTACTGGCATAAGTTGTTAGACAACTAGCTTGATATAATTCTACGATGCATGGACATGGTGGTATTCCCTTGTATTCCCGTGTTGTGTTGTGTCATATTCCCTTGTGGTCGTACAACCATTCTTCTTGTTAATTTGACGTATTTCTATATCGTGTCATATTCCCGTGTCCGTGTGTCATGCATCGTAGGTATAATCTAAAGGGAATGTTGAATTTTATTTGTTTACATTAATTCAACAAAACTGTGTTTGAAGTATACAAATATTCAGTGCGAATGGAAGAACAAACATCAGTCATGCTCCACGCCGACTTTGTCTCTAATGAATTATAGCCCGTTTGATAACCGTTTTTGTTTTTGTTAGAGAGCATAGAGAGGAGAAACGAAGTGGATATATATATAATGATATGCAAAATGAAAACTAAAATCCATGTAGTCGTCCAGGGGTGGGTTCGGTTTCATTTGGTTTGGTTTTTCGCCAAAACCAAAATCGAACCGAAACTTTGGTTCAGTTCAGTTCAATTTTCTTTCGATTTTTTTTTTTCGGTTTGGTTTTGTTCGGTACAGTACAGTTTCGTTTTTTTTTTAAATTTTATAAAACTTGATCTTTTTTTAATATGAAATTTAGAAAAGAGGCTTGCATTTGTAGACTAATAATAAGAAAATGGGGAAGGTGGAAAGTGGGAAGGTAGTTTGTATATATACAAGATTATATAAACTAATCATATTCTATCAACAGCTTCAATTGCAAAAAAAAAAAAAATGATCACCGTATCCATTCAAAAAGCAAACGAATAGAGAAGTTATTCCAAGTTCCAAAGTCTTCCAAAAACTTCCCACTATAACCAATGAAATATCCTCCTTACTTGAACCAAGTATGCTCCTTGAAAAAGCCTTAGGTTAGTTTCAAACTTGGCAACAAAGTTTCACAAAAAAACATCATGGACATACATTCATAAAGTGTAAAGGGGTTTTGTTCGGTTCGGATCGGTTTCCAAACCTCCAAAACAAAAATCGAACCAATAAGGTTCAGTTCCATTTTTTTTGGGTTCGATTTTTTTTCGGTTTTCGGTTATTTTTTCTTTCAGTTTTTGGTTTTTCGGTTTCAATTTAATGTTGTCCGATTTTTTTTTTTTTGGTTTTCGATTTTTTGAACCCACCCCTACTTATTATTATAGTCTAGTAAAATTTTCCATCACTTGTGAGTGAGATATTATAGGTTCGAATCTCGTGGATGACTTTGGTAACAGAGAAAAAAAAACGTGCAGCCCACAAAATTCCGATCAAAGGATAAATTTTTCAGTTTAGGTGAACAAACTGTGTTTGTGAGTCGAAGACACAACATATGTGTGGTGAAACTGAAAAACAATAAAGACTTACGTGGAACGAATTTATCGCTATTGTAACATAAAGGACCACTAATCCAAGGTTATATGCACACATGACTTTGTGGCATTTGGAATGCTACAATAACGATAAACTCGACAGCCTTCAGAAATTAGAATTTCTCCTTTCAAAGGCCGGCCCAGAATTTTCAATCCAATTTCAACCCTACATCTACAAGAGACTGAGCACAGGTGTAAAACCCCCAAAAAACCCTAATGTATCAAGTGTTATGTAACTACACCAAACAGTTCTGCACCCGGCTTGTATGCTTGCCACGTAACGAAGTACTTCGACTATTTGGACAAATATGCCCACAGAAGATACCTGAAACCCCTAAAGTACCCCCGTCGGCGACAGGTGTCTCTCACAAACACCTCGCGCATCTTTGTCAGTTAACCTATAGAAACCACTGTATAAATATACAACTTTTTTCTCTACACAAGTCGTCTCCTTTAAAACCCTAGACCCTCACTTCTCTGCTTCGTCCCTCCCCTTCTTCCTCTCTCCGACGCAGCTCAACACAGGAAAAGGTATGACTTTAAGATTTTACTCTCTCTCTCTCTCTCTCCCTCTCTCTCCCTTTCTCCCTCTATCTACACACGCACAACAAACACATATATGCATGTAGATATTGGTGTGTGCTTGGTTTGTTCTTGTGAAAAGTATGGATTTTGAAGTTTGAAAATTTATCAGTGATGTGGGTTTTGCATAAGATTTTGGGGTTGTTTGGATTTTTGGGTGTATTGGTAGGAAATTTTTGTGGGTTTTTCTTTTCACTGCTATTGGAGTTGGTGTGAGATTATAAGAAGTGATTGATCTGACGGATGATTCTGGTTTTTTTATATTTCGGTGTAGGTGTGTTTTGAGGAGTCGGAAAAATGCTCGTGCTGTTCGAAACTCCGGCGGGTTTTGCCTTATTTAAAGTGTTGGATGAAGGGAAGCTCTCCAAAGTTGAGGTAATTGCGGGCGTAAATGTGTGTTTATGCATGTGTTATCTGTCTTGTTTTTGAGAAGAATGAAGCAAAATGTAAAAAAAAAAAAAAAAAAAAAAAATCTAATTTTTGAGTTCGGGTTTACATCGGTGCTTCTGTTATTTATTTTTAGTGTTGGGTCTGATTGCATTTCCCGTATTAATTGGTATTGCAGGACTTATGGAAGGATTTTTCAAGTGCAGATAAAGCTAGACAGGTATCTATCAGTCTGTATCTAATATGTATATGCATTTTAATTTATACCGAAATCACATCCTTGTTGATTGCTGTTACACATGATATTGGCACCGTGCATTTTTTACTTCCAGATTGGTTTTCTTAGTTGTTTAAAATGATTTTTCTCATTTATCTGCTTGATTTGAGCATTTTGTTTGTTATATGTTTAATCTGTATATGGTGATGGTTTAGGTTGTGAAACTGAAAGCTTTCTCCAAGTTTGAGAATACATCAGAAGCTTTGGAAGCGGCAACCCTGCTGATTGACAGTAAACCCAGCAAAGGTCTGCGCAAATTTTTGAAAGCGCACTGCAGTGGTGAGACGCTGGCTGTTTCCGATTCTAAGCTTGGAAATATAATTAAGGAAAAACTGGTATGCTACTGTTCTGTTTTGATGAAAGTTGGAATTTTTTGTGAGATCTTGGGTCTGTAGTAATATGATGCTTTGATGCTTCATATTATTTAAGTCGAGCATTTAATTTCTTGCAGAAAATAGACTGTGTTCACAACAATGCTGTGATGGAATTGATGAGAGGTGTAAGAGCTCAGTTGACTGAGCTCATAGCCGGTCTACAAGTTCAAGATTTGGCGCCAATGAGCTTGGGTTTATCTCACAGCTTATCTCGATTCAAGCTCAAGTTCAGTGCTGATAAGGTGTGTGGCTATGATTACATTTTTTTCTCTTCAGAAAGGAGGTATCGGTGTTGGGTGGTGCATTGTTTTGTTGTAATACACCATTATATTACATAATTAAAGTTCTTTCAGCCTAATGTATTCTTTCCTTGGGAGGAAAGGATTATTTGGTCATTCAAATATGTACCACCAATGTGTTGTAATTTATGTGGCTCTATTTCCATTACCTGCTTTCGTTTTCTACTAGAAAAAAGAAAAGGCCGAAAATGCATTTAGTTCTGCTTCTCTTTGTTTCCTGCAGTGTTGTTTTTACTCTTCTGCATACTTGTCATAGAACAGCAAGAAAACATATGATCAGTTTGTTGGTTTTTCTTACTTGGTGTAAAGGACTGATACTGAACTCAGTAAAATGAGAGTTAAGTTACTCGAAATGACATTCTGTCAGTTTTCTATACAGTAAATGAATGTTTCTGGGCTCCAAGCTGACTTTAAGTACAATCAGTTTGCTAGCTGTGATTATATGTTTCAGGACTCTATATTGTGGTTCATCAATGTACAGTGGCCCTAATATAAGTTACTGTTTCAGGTTGATACAATGGTGATTCAAGCCATTGGTTTGCTTGATGATCTTGATAAAGAGTTAAATACATATGCAATGAGGGTTCGAGAATGGTATGGCTGGCATTTTCCAGAGCTTGCTAAGATTGTACAGGACAACATCCTTTATGCCAAGGTAGTGAAGCTGATGGGCTACCGTTCTAATGCTGCAAAGCTTGATTTCTCCGAGGTAAGATTTGGTGATTTATGTGCTTCCATCCATTATATGGACCTTATATATATGATTGAATATTCTTTTTGATCCAGTTACTATAGATGAGTACTCATTATGCCTAAAGGGTGCCTTCTTTTATCATCATACTATTTCTTGGTAGTAAACCCATTATATCCATTATAATAACATATTTAACGGTAGTAATCTTATTATATCTGATATAAGGCAACGAATGGTGATGCTGATAATGGATCTCATTGTTCTTGGTCCAAACATAACAGATATTGCCAGAGGAGGTTGAAACTGAATTGAAGGATGCGGCAATGATATCCATGGGAACAGAAGTTAGTGAACTTGATTTGATGAACATCAAAGAACTCTGTGACCAAGTCCTTTCTCTCTCTGAGTACAGAGCTCAGCTATATGACTATTTGAAAAATAGGATGAACACCATTGCACCAAATTTGACTGCTCTTGTTGGAGAGCTCGTCGGTGCTCGCCTCATTTCCCATGGTGGTAGCTTGTTGAACCTTGCAAAGCAGCCTGGGAGCACAGTTCAGATTCTTGGAGCTGAAAAGGCCCTTTTCAGAGCACTGAAGACTAAGCACGCAACACCAAAATATGGACTTATCTACCATGCATCCTTGATTGGTAAAGCAGCGCCAAAGCTGAAGGGTAAAATTTCTCGGTCACTTGCTAGTAAAGCTGCATTGGCAATTCGAGTTGATGCTCTTGGAGACAGTCAAGATAACTCAATGGGAGTGGAAAATTATCAGAAGGTATCTCTTGCTTCTCATTATTTCCTTTTAACATTTTGAGCGCTCCAGCTTATAGAGAAACATATGCACAGCTTGAAGCACGGTTAAGGAATCTTGAAGGCAGAGAATTGGGTCACTTTGCTGGGTCGGCTAAAGGCAAACCAAAGATTGAAGTCTATGACAAGGATCGCAAGAAGGGAGCCGCAGGATTGATAACTGCTGCCAAGGTCTGATATTTTTCTTGTGGATGTTTATTTCAGTTTGTCAGTTGATTATTATGAACCCTTTTTTGTTCGTTGTAGGCATATAATCCTGCTGCAGATGCAGTTCTTGGGAAAACAACACCTTCTAATACTGAGAAACCAACTGCCGAGGTTCCTGTTACTGAAGATAAGAAAGAGAAGAAGAAAAAGAAGAAGAAGGCTGATGACGAGGACATGCCTGACGGAAATGCCAATGTGGAACCAGAAGTTGAGGAGCCTGCAAAGAAGGAAAAGAAGAAGAAGAAGAAGCATTCGGCTGAGGATGCTGAATTAGTTGCT